CTCTCCAGCCTTCCCGCCCAGCGAGGCAGAGCCGCCGCTGCCCCGGCCCGGGCAGAGCCCCCCGCAGCCCTGGCCAGGCCGGCCCCCAAAGAGAAGCGAGAGTTGGGTTCCGTGCCCCCCTCACTGCAACAGCGCCCTGCAGCGTGTTTTGGTGTAAAACTGCGAGTTTCTGTACCCCCGCTTGAGGGGACGGCGCTGTCAGGGGGAGCATTCCTGCCCGGGCTGCGGTGCCGTGTCACAAGCTCCACGTTGCACGTTTTTCCTCAAAGAAGTGTTACAGGCCTGTCCTGCTGCAGGGGCGTCCCTCCCGTTCCCAGCTCTGCCTCAGGGTCTCGGTGCCAAAGGAGCAGCAAAGCCATCAGTGCCAGTGCACCGGGGGGTGTACGGGCTGCTGCCATACTAACAGCTGCCTGCGGTCATAGAGTCATTCAAAAGCCTCGGGATTTTTACCTTGTGCCCAAATTATTAACAAATTCAAAGGGAAGAAATAACCCCGGGGGTTAAATCTACACAGATACTTGAGATAATTTTTAAACACATAGTTTGCTGGCAGTATGTTAAACTGTCTCAAATATTGATGGGGACAGGGTCAGCATCCTCAACTTCTGTTTGCTTAATAAATATTTACAGAGTTTTGAAGCTGTTTGCTGAAGTTTAAGGACCATCTATGTAAGCATTCTGCTCGAAATAATTTTGGGTGATGAAGCTCCTGCTGCTGCATCTGCAGGGTGGCATGGGTGGCTCCACGAAGGTGAAAAGCAGCACAAGAGACTGAACGCAGCAAGCTGCAAATGCTGGAACAAGGAATGGGTCAGAGAATCAAGAGAAATGCCATAGAAATGTTTGGTTATGTAATTTGTGTTTATATGAAACAAAACATGACTTTAGGTACATAAAAATCACACCTGAGAGGAAGCAGACTATGCTTCATAGCCAAGATGCTGCACACAAAGTCAAACTAGGTAACCAAGGTCAAGCAACCTGAATTAATTAACAGGCAGACAAACTAGGGTGAGAGTCAAGAGTACACTTGAGAGATACAAAGAGAAGTCCTTATCACTTCAACTCTGACTCTTGGAGTTACAAGCAGGAGATTGAGGATTTTTTAAATTAAAAATGAAGCGGATGTAAAGGCAAGAAACTACAGGAAATTTTGTAACATCTCAGACAGAAAAATACTCCATGCTCTACAACTGAAAGCACATTTTCTGACACTCCATCCACCTAAGTCCATAGCCTTGCTACTCAGAAATATCATCCCACAGTAGCCATATCTTGCAAAGAAAACCCAGGAAGTGAAAAGCATCTTTCTTTCCCACTCTCTGTTTCATATTTTCTTGTATTTGTTCACAAGACTGAATGAGGGGACAAAATCATTCACTGTTCTGCTTATTGCCTGTGACCCATCACTTCACTTTGTCCAGCACCCCCAAAACTCTGAACTGCTTAAATAACACAGCTGTCCTGGTATTAAACCCATCATTCAACATGTTTTATTGGAAATAAATGGTTTGTTGAACTCTGTGAACCCTTGGCTCATACATTCAATTTTTACTAGCCTGTGGGGTTTTTTCCCCTCAAGCCCAGCATGTTTCACATGCCTTTGGACCTTGCTCCAGGCACTCTGATTTTTCAAGACAGGCTGCACTCTCTTTTCATGCAGGGTTGATTTGATTAGCTGCACAGCCACGCTCAGGAGACAGACAGCTACATCTGCAGGAGCTGGCACAGCCCTTCATGCCTGCTGCCCACGGGGGGACCTAGAGCTCACCAGCACAGCAGTTTTCCCTGTGGGACTCCTGCATGGCCATGCCACAGCTGCCCAGCCAGCTGTGGGCCCCACGGGCGGGAGGAAATGCAGATGTCACCCAGCCAGTGGCACAGGGACCAGCTGGCCGAGTGTGGGACCAGCCACACCAGGCCTGGCAATGCAAACAGGCTCAGCACACACTTCAGCGTGCCCAGGTGGTGCTGGGGAAGACTTTCTCAGGCTGCAGAGTAACAGCTTGAACGCTAAAAATGTGACCTTAACATCAGAACCAGAATGAATCCACAGCACTGATTTTTACCACTGCTGTTTAAATTACTAGCTAGTCCTTTCTCTCCTTCTCAGCCAGAGGCAAGATGAAATCTGTAGAGCCTTGGGCTGATAAAAGACGGCCAGTGGCCTGTTTTCTGGGACTTTGGCTGCTTCATGACTCCCTGAGCACAGGGTGAGTCTCTGGGAAAAATGCTGAGTGCATCAGGGGTGGGAGATGTCCCAGAGGTGCTCAGCTTTCTGAAGTTTTTAATAGCAATTGCGTACCCAAGAAAAATAATAGGTTGTACACTAATAAGCATGACCTCAAAATTGTGGCCAGAGAGAATTCATAACATCAATTTTTACTACCATTGTTTAAATCATCCATTGTTTAAATCGATGTTATCTAAACACTCATCCAGAATGTCCCATATACAGGATATCCTGCTCACTAAATAAGGAATAATGTTATTCTTAAACAAGTTGAGCTAAAAATAGCTCGTGATAGCTCTGGGGGAGATTTGCAGAGGCAAGAGAAAGCAGTGGGTCAGAGCGTGTGTTAAAGTTTCTCCACAGTTGGCAGTATTTCATCCATCTGTGTGACTGATCTGATCATGCTACAGTACACCAGCCACTGGCAGAGCACACCACCTGAGGAGATAGAAGGAAGTGGTAGAAAGACAGAAGGCATGAACAGGTGATGATATTTGTCTGATGCTTTTATGATCTGCCTGAGACACAAGCCTGGGATTTCCTCCCAGCTATCCCAGGTCAGGATCTGCTGAACCAGAGCTGCAGAGTCTACTGCAGGTGCAGGAGGAGGTCTCCAGGGATCCCTTCCCATAGCAGTGCTGTGCAGCTGCCTTTCTACAGCAAGTGGGTTATATCTCCACCTTCTCTGCACTATTGAACAGTCTGTAGCAGAAAAGTATTGATTGCAAAAAGTATAAGTCTGAATGGTTGGTCACTAGGCTTCATGTCCCAGTAATTACTCCTTTAATTATTTCCTCTGAAAGCAAAGCTACCAGCACTTCTCTTCCGCAGCCCACTGGATGGTCCAGCCAAGGAGATGTCATGATCAAAATAAGCATCCTTTGTCTGCCATTCTTCTGACTCACAGTTTTTATGGGATACTATTAACTAAAATATAAACCAAGCATCAGACTGACATAAATCCATTTTTTTATTGTGGACTAATTAATCTCTGCCAGTCAGAGCAGCAGGGGATGGAAAAACAGGAGAGAGTGTCTTGGTACCAAAAACAGCTGAGAGAGCCAAACCTCCAGAGCAGTACATGGACATCAAGGAGTTTGGGGATCAGGGGTGTTACTGCACATCCTCTCTTACAATATTTTCTGTTTACTAAGTTGGATGTGCTTGCCACCTCTGCCAATCTGTTTGCTCGCTATCAGCAGGGTGTAGCACTTCTTAATCTGAGAGCCTGCAAGCAGACCAGGTTGCTATAAACCACTCACAGCCCAATACAGGATTTCCTTTCTGCAGAAGGATGGCTTCCTGAGTAATTCATACAACAATCTCTTGTCCAAGCCTGTCCTTATCACAAACTGAAATACCCTGGCTCTGTGCTGGTGATCAGTACCAGCTGGTTCATTATCCCATATCGTTTGAAAACCCTCAAGGATTCCTTTTTTGCATAGGAACTTGTTTGAGCAGGGCATTTGCACTTAGCCATTACATGGCATTCAGGAAGACACACCTATGTGTTTCCAGCTAAGCAACGAACCAGGAATGAAACCCCCAGCCCACCTGCATCAGTGTCAGTGGCACACTGAGTTCTGTCTGATGAGCTGTGAGTGTGGCACTGCTGTCCCATGGTCTCCATGAGGCAAGAATTCCTGCTACAGCATCATCAAAAGGAAGCATCCTTCAGCAAGGAGAGTGCAAGGACACAACCATCATACAGAAGGGTTATCAGCAGTAATGGGGAATGTTTCTTACATTCAAACACTCCAGCCAACAAGCCCTGCTAACTCTCCCAGGGCAGCAGAGGAGATGATCATGCTCTGCTGGTGACAAGGCCCCAGTGTGTCACCTTCCATGCAGGAGCCTCCTCAGCCCTTCCCTTTCCCCACCACCCCCAGGGCTCAGCAGATGTTGTGGGTCTAAGGATCTCCACTATGGAATCCCAAAGCTTAAAAAGCATCAGATAGAGACAAACCTTGCATGTGCTTGTGTAAAAGTAGTTTAACAAAACCCATTTAATACTGATCTAATTAACCTTTGACGAATTTGTGTCTGTTCAAATGTAACTTTAATCACTGATTGAAACAGTTCAGCTTAATTACACTGAAATGTGTATTTGCACCATAACTTGCTTTACTAATAAAAGGAGCCCTAATTCACTGATTAAAGCAGAGTATTTTTAGCAAGGTTTTTAACAGTTTCACTACACCAGTTTGGGGTTGTTGTGCCATTTCTGTTTTTCACAACCAATACAAGGGAGCTGGAGAGGAGACACCAGGTTTTTCCCACAGCTCTGTGCTGGTTTCAGCAGGGCTGTGTCAGTGTCACTGGTGGCTTTCCAAGAGCAGCAGAGCAGCAGCAGCTGCCCCTGTCCCCTCCAGTGACTGTCATTACTGGGTCTTTCTGCTTTGGATTTACGTACCCCATAGCTTGCCATGAAATTAGAGAAGGGGTTTTGTGCCTGACAAATACCCTGCAGCAGAAAGCTACAAAGATAAAGTTTAGGTGCAAAGTGATGAGCTACAGCTCACAGAATCAAAGCGAAGCACACAACAGGGAACAAGCTCTGTTATCGGCTTACAGCCTCAAATAATGAGAGGATCCTGCCTCAGCTGACACTCTCCTGATGAGCTTGAGGTGGATCACCCACCCAGGGAAAAGGAAGGAAAATACAGCGTGGGAAGAAACCTGAGTGAGGGAGGATCTGTCTGGGGAAACTGGCTTATCAGCACTCAGCAATTAGGGTGGGAAAAGTTGATGCTCTGGCTCACAGCACCTGTTCTGCAGGGCTGGAGGGCACTGGTAGCTCTAAGGAAGCCCTGTCCATGACCGCAGAACTCCTTGGGTTCAGGTAGGCTTCACACCACACCCAAACCCACATATGGAGCCTGGCAGTAATCCCCAGCTGGATTATTTCCATCAGAAAACATCACCCCAGTGGCACCAACCCACACAGGGCAGTGTCCAGTTCACTGCTCTGGCCAGCCCAATTTGGGTAGAAAGATGCTGGGGGATGCTGCATCTGAAATTTGAAATTAAAACCTTGTAGCACAATTCTTGGTCTAGGAAATGTCTGCACATGGAGTTGTTGATATCATGGCTAAAAATAAGCCTCAGTCATGTAATCTTCCTGGTCCAAAGTAAATTCTTTACCTGCTTGACTCTCCTGTGAGGGGATGAGCATTACAGTGGTGGAGCCTCACCAGGAAGGCTAAGTTTGATCTCTTCCCAGCATCTCTCCACTGTGATTTCTCAGGCTGCATCCCTTTAACTAAGATTAAACTTTCTACAGATTGATGCAAAGCAACACTATTACTTCATTTGCAAGGCAGCAAGGGCAGCATATTCCTATCTTTAAGGCCATTCAGATGAGCTCATTTAATGACAGCTATTTTTACATCTGGTGTCATAGGTTTCATTATTATAGCGTCAACCATTTGAACAGAGGTGGAAGCATCTTTCATGTTCTACCTTATTCAACTTAAATCTCTTTTTTTAAGATTTATGATACAGAAGGCATTATATTTACTCCCTGGTACTATAAAATACAAGTTTCTCACATAGATACATATGCAAAGCAAACCACTGAAACAACAGGGATGGCCCAGGCTCCCCTAAGGGAGACTGGGGTCAAGCACAAATTGCCTTTACAACAAGCTGGTTCATGTTTGAATGTTATTTCTTTACTTCCAGAACACATTCTGTCTTTGGTTCCCTTTGCTATCCCTCAAGTGGTACCTGCAAACAGGGGAGGAGAATGATGGATGCAAAAGGTTCACTCTCCCTATTGTTTGTGTGAACAGATACATCCATGACCTGGCTGACCCACCAGTGCAAGGGAGTGGATCCCTCACTGAGGGCTTTACAAACATCTTATCAGCATTGGGTTCAGGTTGCAGAGCCCAGGACCAGCCCCTTCCCTAGCCAGAGGGGCACCAGTGCCCATGGGATCTTTATGGCTGAATGGAAAAGAATATGCTGGCAACTGAAGGAGGACACAAATGTTAAAGTGTGGAGCAGTAAAAGACTTGAGCCCATTGTGGCCTCCCTGTTTAGGGACTGTGGATGTGGTGCTGCAGAGTGTGGTGGTGTCAGCCACCTCTGCAATAATTTTCTGGTCCCCAGGGTAGCACAGAAAAGGGATATCCATGGTGGGCAAACAATGAAGAGCATGAACTGAAAAACAAAGAACTGAACCTACCCAAAACCAAGCTTCTGTTCAGATTGCATCTCTTTAAATGACACAACACTGTCCTCATATTAATGTGTTTTTCCCTCCATCTCTCTGCTCTGCCTGCTGCCCCAGCATGACAGATGACAGAGGCTTGGAGAGAGCTGCCTCAGGCTGCATGAATTTCAAGCTCTCTCCGAGAGCACTTTGATATTGGAAGTTATACACTTGAAATTTCCATACCTTGTGCTCTGCTGTGGTTACAACGTTTCTGGGATCTGCTCTAAGGGGAGCTTCAACAGCTCATCTCTGTGGGAAGACATTTAGTTATTTAAGAAGTATGAAATACTAAGGGTAAGCATCTGAACTTGCTAAAATATTTCAGTTCACACAATTTCAGCACTTTAGCCTTTGGCTCTGGAATAAATAATAAACCCTCTTCCTAGATCAATTTTTTTGACAGGTTTATGAATTATAGGCCAAATAAATGTATTTTAAATATCACTCCTAAATATATTAGAGAACAATGAATTATTCATGATGATTGAGTGCTTCATTGAATTTATTTCCCTTGATTTATCTCCCCAAGTAGATGAATATTACAAAAAATAGGTATGCCCCAAAACAGCCAGGCAACAAATCCATTTACAACCTCTCCACTGATCAAAGATAGGGAGCAGAAACATGCATAACTTATATTAATGCTTGTCCTCATCCATCAGCAAAAGGCAAGGCACCCAGCTCAAAACACAAATGAACCTAAGAGTGGCTCACTATGTGGAAGCCCAGTGGCAGACACGTCCTCTCCTGGCCTCCAGCCATGCTTGCAGGTCATGGGGACAGCATGAAAGCACCTCTCCTCTGCTCCAGGAAAACCCAGCTCCTGCTCAGCAGTGCAAGCTCACCCTTTGTCACCAGCTCACCAAGTACAATATAAATACGCCTGTGTGCTCTCTGCATGCTGCAAGAGCCAGTGGAGAGCACCCAGCAGTCCTGAAGATGGGGACAGTAAAAGGCTCCAACTACAGCGTGTTCCAGCCACCACCTGTCCCCTTGCAGCTCTCCAGGTGCAGCTGAGTGCACCCCAAACGTGACTCAGGCCATAGCAGCACTTATCTCTGGGAGCAGACTCCGAGTGAAAGGCACTTGAGTCAGCAGAGCCATAGGATAAAGAAGCACACATTGATATGGATTTGCACAGATATTTCCTCCCACCCATCAATAATGACAGTCAATTGTCATGATAATGCTTCCACTTGTAATTAGTTACCTTTGGAGCAGACTTTGATTGTGTGTATAGCTCCCTGAAGGCATTGCTGGGCAAGGGGCACAGCTGGACTTGCCATTGACCACATGATTCAAATAAGCAACACCTTATAAAATTAGTTTAGAAGCCAAGGAAAGCAAAGTCCACAGAAAAAATCAGATCAAACTTATGCCCAAGAATGCAAAGAAAAATGAAACACCTAAAATTCATTTAAGAAGTAGTTTGATTTAAGGCAAATACAGATGAGTAGTGGCTATGACTTCTGAAACCTCAGAGCATGCAAGTCTAAATACAGAGGTGGTAAATAAGGGCATGGGTGCAGCTCCAGAGACCAAATGGACTTTGATCCACTTTGGATTCTTTCTTCCTAACAACAAAAACAAAGAAAGCAAACAAAAACAGATACTGAATCAAGTCTGTGCTGGTGTGCTGTAGCAATTTGAGATCAGTGACTGCTTGTATGAGAAACAGATTAATATCTTGGTATGTGAGAGAACTCAGGAATGAGTAAGTGTTGCCTAAGATGAATAGGGTGAACATTGAGTAAGAGCAGAGTATGGCATAATAATTTCCAGATGCAGAAAAATTTATCATTGGTTTTATAATGTGGATGAATATTCTCTAGGAAATCTCCTCTGCAAACTTCTTTTGGTTTTACGCAGTTTTCCTAACACATGAAGGTCATATGTGTAATCTGTTCTATTAGTTTCTCTTGGCTGTGATAATAAGGCTGTTTGGGGTTAGGTTTTTTGAGGGTTTTTTTTAGTATATCAGAAAGACAAATGTGTTGAGAGTTCTGCTGATTATTCCTAACTCACTACAGGTCAGTACAAGATGACACATGGAGGGTGTGTCACAACACATCATCTAAAAGCAAAGGATGTAGCAGTATCACATGCATTTTGTTAAGTGTAGGTAGATAAAAAGAGGGAAGAATATAACCATGAATTTTCTTGTTAGTTGGAAACTCATTGAAAACAACACACAGGGCTTTCACTACTGGGTCTGGTGAGTTATTTCTGATTGAATACCAAGTCTGTGGAGAATGATGAGTCAGTTGGAACGCAAGAATGAACTATCAAGTCACTCCAAAGCAGTAGCTTCATCTAAGTATTTTAATCCCAGGAGTTTGCAACATCATATCCAAGCAATGTATCAGATGAGTCCAGGTAGCTGCTTCAGCAGCTGTGAACTGCCAGCGATACAAGCTGAAAACCAGGCCATACTTTTTCTGCCCTATCCATGGAAAAACCCCAAATGGACCAGCAATCCACAGGAAAGCTTCAAGAATACTCATACCACCTTATCAGGGTAAATCCTCCTGCTGGTCATCAGCCTGAAACATCCAGTGAGCATTGGAATTCGTGTCACATCTGCTGGAGAGGACCATATGTTCCAGCTTATGCTGAACTAGTGCTCTGTGCTGTGAGTCTTTGCTTTTATGACAAATGATAAGCAAACACAGCCAGCTCTAGAGTCTGTATATAAACACATGTATCTGTCATCTTCCTCTGCAAGGCTTGGCTCCCTGAGAAGGCAGAACTAATTCTCATGCATTATCCCTCTAAGCATATGCCCCATGTCTTACAAGATTCTCACATTTTGTGTAAACAATAACACTTGTGTCACTTAAAATTGAGACATAATTATTTCTCATTAGCAAGTGCTGCTGTGATATTTGGGTGGGAGGAATTGAAAAGCGGACAGTTATTAATAAAAAAAAAATCACATTTCAACTATGTCTAAAGTCTTCTTTCAACCACCTTCAAAGTATTCAAGTAAACAGCATTTTTCCTGCCAAAGTCAGACAATGAGAGCTGACAAGATGAGATGTGGAAGACAGCTCCTCATCTGTCACTAGCAGTTACCTTTCCAGGTCAGGGCTGGAATCAAGCCATTAAGCTACACTTGCAGAATAATCTCTCCAGTCATTTTAAATCCTGCTGCTGTTCCTTTGCTGGATAAAACCCAGCTTAGAAGAAGCAAGGTCAGCACATTTTCACATACCAGGAGTGCTGTATGGTTAGGACAATAATACAGCCACAAGGGAGATTTAGCTCCTCTCAAACTTCATTTCCAGAGTATTTCTGCCACAGACCTGGTAGGAGCATGGCTGTGCCCCACAGGAGGGAGGAAACCATCTATCATCAGCAAGATGAGACACAGCCCTAAATTAGACATAGGCTACTGCTTAAAAAGGAAGCTCACTTTAATGCAGAGATAGCAACAAAGATCAACAGGACTGAGTCATCTGCCTTGACACTGCATGTCTGTCTGCACCTATGAGCAAAGGATTTTCACTCCATTAAATGTTTTATTCATTTACATACAGTTAGCAGACTCTGACTATACAGGTGCCCTCAAGCCACATGCTTGGGATAAATTCTTG